AATAAATAATAAAACAAAATTGACTGTTCACCTGGATTAGCCATCAATAAATCATTCTGATCCTCATCTACTATCGCAGCTAATGCAATCAGACTCGCTACAGCCATAGACTTGTTCGTACTTTTAACGAAGGGAATAAGGGCGTCTACGACCCCGGTATTATTCAGTGCTTGAGGTGGTACTGCCCTCGACAAGTTAACCATTATCTCAACGCAAAGTTTTACGATGTAACCTTCGTGAGAATCGTCACTCTGAAATCATCACAGTGTTATTGACATCCTTGCAGGTTGGAATGCACCGGAGTTTGATAGTGCGCAGAATGTACATATTTGCTTGCCAAAACCCCCTCGATGTGTTTCGCGCGAAGGAAATCAATGCTCTTTGGGTGATCACTGTTTTGGAGTCAGGGGTAGTGGGTTGCAAACAGCCCTGTTATAAAACTTGGATGAATTATGATATGGTGCCTATTTGTTAAAAATTATAGGTATATAATTTGGGAAATCGCTTGTGCTTTGACTGATTCGGCTTTTAGTGTATTCATTAGCCACAAAGAAATGTCTACGCTGAAATGTAGCAGCACTGGCCTTGTGCATCCTTAAGCATATTACAGACACTTCAAGGAACCCCCTCTGCTAGTGGAAGGTTGAAAGAACTAAATTTACAACGGACATTCGGTAAGGTTCTAAGTGTCCGCTAAAAGGAGACTATAACAACTGGTGCGACTTACCTTTCCCCTAAAATGTTTTATGAAGAATATCAAAACTGGCACAATTCCATGATCTACAAGACCTTTGGAAACAGGTCTCTCTCCATAGGTATAATTGACAGTAATCAAGAACAAATAACGTATATTTTTCCATAGAGAGCTAATGACGTTGCTTGGCAATTCGTTATTAAACAAAGTTTGGAAATCTTTCAGGTCTTTTACAATCCTTTCGGGCAGACCCTGTGCAACACAAAACTCTCCTATTTCGTCTTTTTCCTCAAAAGTACAGGTGAGGTGAGGTCCCGCATTGTTCAATTGTTTTAAGCTTTCCCAGTGCTGTTCAGTGCGAACGCCTTGTGTAAGTTTGTATGATGAAATAGCGTTCACAATGTCAGGAAATCTTTTCTGCATGTCCATGTTTGCTGGAAAATATGAAGAAATTTTAAAAATGGTTACATTTTATTAGAACTTGGACTGAACATTTTAGCTGTGTAACTATGACGACGGGCACCTCTCTACAGAACCTACATGAATTTTAGGACCATTGCGTCGTTGCAGTTGTTTTATATAAATTAAACTATAATATTTTCTACRTGCCTCATAGTATTTTAAGGTCAGTAGCTGTATGTTTTGATTTGAGTACGATCTTTTCATACAAAATAATTCACAAATACAGTATCAAGCATTTGACTGGCGGTGGACTGATGTGTGCACAAGGTTGAATGGACGCATTTTGGAAAAATACTCGGAGTTTTTGATGTTCCAGAGGCTTCGAGAGCTCTCGTTAGCGAGTCATCAAAGGTCGAGTTTATCAGAAGGACTCCCGAGAAGACAGGACCTGCGAGCAACTTCTGAAATGACGTCGTGCTGTGCTTTTGTGACACGTGATTTCATGGGCTTGAGGCTGTCCCTAATCGCTTCCATGTTTGCACTAGCTTATATAATATTTCTGTACTGGAATCAGTATCAGTTCTATATCGGAGCACACGGAGCACTGCGCGGGCTTCGGTGTTCCTTAGACAAGGGAAATGGGACTGAACCATCGCGTCGATTTTGTTCGATTGGTTGTCGCGTGTACGCACGTTATATTTTTGAACAGAATCAGGATCTCTAAATGGGTTCTTAATTTTTGGTAATAACAAAAATACTTCGAACATGCTTGAAATTGAATAATAATGATAATAATAATAAGAAGAAGAATGCAATTTCGCAGCGATTTCCTATCGCCGCTTATCGCCGCATGCAAACAATCGCAAGGCTGTTTATAGTTGCGCGATAGCAAAGTGACAATTATCGCGCCGCAAAAATCGAAAAAATCGCCTTTAGCGTGCAAACACAGTGTAAGCACTCAAACATGCACAGTCAGTACTATATTGTTGTATTGTTTACAAAATAAAACATATTGACTTTTTATACTTAGAAATCTTAAAATTCTTGAACACTCCTCTTGGTCTTTCTGTTCTATTTACTCGGAAACTACTCATCATATATTTGTAGAATATATGGAAAAAGAGAAATGAAGAGGCCAAGTTTAATGTTTTTTTGATTGCACTAAGGCAAAAGAGAAATACAGAACATACCAAATAGATAAAAAGAACAGCATGGTTGAAAAGCACAAGGAAAAATGGAAAACAATTGAATTAGCTCTAAAAGGTCATTTCATGGCAGCAAACTGAATTCATATACTCCAGTATTCAAATAATTGTACCATTTTTTTCCTGTGTTTAAATCTGAAAAAAATCTAGAGGATTGCAACTATATTGCTTTCCTTCTTCAAAAATGTAAACAATGTTTGTGTGTATTCGTCTATGTATTAATTATTGTGTACAAAACTGAAAAAAAGACTTCTAGAGGACAGAAACTATGTTGCTCTCCCTCCACACAAATGTACGAATAATGATCGTGTATCTGATTCGTCCGAATTAAAAAAAATTCAAGCTGAAATTGTTTCTATGTGAAGGGCACTTAAAAGGAAAAATTCAGGCTAACATGTTCTCAAATTCTATGGTTCTTCGAAACGCTGTGTTTTACTTTATACGATAGGAGTGCGTAGAAAATGTTTTTTGTCACAATTGCGATAACGTTTGAAAGACGTCGTGCTTATCGTTAGAAAACAGACGATGTTTTGCAAATTTATACAATTTTCTAAATACATTCCATGCTTCATTTCATCTAAGATCACAACTAGAGTGCAAGTCACATAAGCATGAAACAATTCTTAACTTATGTAGTGCTAAATAAGATTTAGTTATCAACTAACTAAGAATTGAGAACAATGCTACAAAGGAATTTAAATAATTGGCATTGTGTTTATGCTTTGTTGAATCTTAGTTAGTTGATAACTAAATCTTATTTAGCACTACATGTTAAGAATTGTTTCATGCTTATGTGACGTGCACTCTATTGTTTTTACATCGTAAACATTTCGATAGTAACGGCTTGGTCTATTGTTAGTCCATGCYGAACATAACGTAAGGAAGGTATCAGATATGAATCTCAAGAGAATTGAAGAGTAACTAGTCGTTATGGCAAATGTGCCATATCCTGTATCAAAAGGAAAATGAGATCAAAACAATGACTTTCACACGTTGAACAAGAAAAACATGGATCCATTGATATGATAGAATTAAATTTGGCGTTTTACTGGCTGTTGCATAATTATGGTTGTCAGAGTCAAGATATTTTCCATCAATGCCTGTGTTTATATCTTACCTTTATCACGATCTCGACGATAACAAATCAAGTACTCGCTCAAGCAGCACTGAGGACGCAGAGAGAAGGAACTGTTGTTGACTTCCATATATGGTTGTGCATGTATACGTCCACATCATGTGAAGAGGAATTAGAAAATTTTCGAAGACTTAAACTTTAAAACTGAAAGAATTTTTTTAAGGATGAACATGGCAAAGATTCGAACTCATGCCATGCCAGAGTTCGTGTTGCTGCCGATGCAAATCTCGCCGATGAGATCCAAGGATTTCCAGGATTACAACTTCTCACTTTCATGGGCGAGGTTGTTGAAAGAGATCAACTTCACTCTACTAACAAAGCAAAGGAGATCACCACATTTGTCAACGCTTTGTGGGGGTTCTCCCTCATCACAAAAAATGGACACCCACCAATGCACATCATTCCCCCCCGGGATGCAAATTGACCCCACAGATGTTATCCGTGCACTTAGCTGAAATGCCATTAAGCCTTTGATATCRAACAATTTACCTTATCTTAAAGGGAAATCATGGGAGGTCGGAAATCAATTTTTCCGAATTTATTCCTAAGGGTCTTTCTCCCGGAATTGCCTCTTTCTAAGCACTATAACTTTCTTTCATTTCAATATCGTTTCTATCATAGTGCCATGCCGATTGAATGTCGTGGACCCAGCTACCCTTGAGTTTCTAAGAAGTCAAGGAGTGGAGGCATTTTATTCASCCTGCATGACTCATGACGATCGACAAATCAAACCAAAGGTCACGCTGATACAGAACTCGGACAACATTTATTTGATGGGCGTCACTGATGCGGTCAGGAAGCTGCTACCATCAGAGATTCAACAAAAAGGCATTTCCCGATTAAATAAATTGGCTATAGATTTAAAGCAGCTTTATCACAGATTGAAAAGTACGTTCGAAAAAAGTTAGTTGTAACGCAGCACATCCACTGTGCATTACMATGTGTTTCCATGGGAACACCAGGCATGTTAATTCCTCTAGAATGCCTAGTGGCAGCGGTAYAACAATTAGTTTTTTTTCTTTTATGAGTATTTAACCACTGTTACCTCATAGTTGTTTCTACAGACAAAGCTTTATAATTATCGTCCATTTTGGATCCGTCGCGATCGTGTTCTGTGGGCACAGAGGAAGAGATCGTATACAGCTATGCCGTCAAAATTAGAACTATAGTTTCCCCGTGAGTGGATGTACATAGTAAACGCTTTGCCAAACTTACAACGAAGARCACTGCTTAAAATATATCAGTTGCCAGTTGCTCATAATAACTTGGTTTCTCTCTGTCTGTGATGTTCTTTAGGAAGTGGAGGGGCTCAAAGATATAAAATACCGATGGATGATGGTTGAAGATATCACCTATTATGGAAGATCCAGAGCGTCCGTGAGCAAGAATGATGATGTTTTTTCTGGTTCGCTTCAAAAGTGGGCTCCTCTTTGGGTTGCGTATTCCTCGGGGAAAATGCACTTTTTTGACACTACACCAGTTTCCATATTTCGTACTAACATAGTCGAAGAGCTAAAATATCAAAATTAGCACAAAAGATTAGCACAAGAGGACAGCAAACGATTTTAATTTATGAAGAGAAAAAAGTGGTCCAAGCTTCATAAGAAACTGAGCTAAACACTTTGAAAAAATTTACAAATAATCAGCTGTCAATAACTTATGTTCTGATGTCATCATCTTTGGTCGCAGTAACCGCCATTTGCAAATTCGTTGCAAGGGTAATAGGGGAAAAAAGATTCAGCTCTCAGGTTGAACTGATACTAATAGGCTATTTTCGTAAATAAAGGATGCTGATTGACTTTATAATCTATCTAACATAAGTGATATGCGATGAAAAAGTCCTTGTTTGCCTGATAACACTCTTCAACAAATGTATATATAGCTCTGATACCAAATTGGAAATGGGTAATTTTAATAACTAGGGGTTGAAAATAATGTGCTTCTGTTGGTTTTAAATCATTGCGACCAGACAATACGCGAGTGCCTCATGTCCCCCCCCCACCCCTCCTTGTTTCAAGAGAAAAGGTTACCTAGATAAATTAAGATATAACGTTTATTAAGAAATAACACCTCGCAGTCTTTCGACTGGAACTAGACGCTCTAACAGCGTGAAGTCGGGCTATCTAGTGTAGTGAAAAATAGAGAAATAATAACATGCTCATTGCCATAGATATGTAGCTCATTCTATATATTGCCTCTATTGGTCTCAGTGGAGGGAATTAACCACTGATAGATGTTGTAACTTGTATGAAATCGAACMACAGGAACAAGGGTTACTGATTTTTATTTTCAAGATCTAAAACGTATGGCACCATCTTGTCACCTTCGAAGAAGTGAGACCTACATTCTTCCTATTTATGATGAATTAAATAGGTAAACCTCTAAAAAACCTCTTCAAGAAGAACAACATTCCTTGGTCGTTTTCAGTGTAAGACCACATGACAATTGACATTTAACAATTATTCGCCGAAGGCGAAGTGATTATCAATGAATATTTACAGAGCGGCGATTCCGCGAGCCGCGAGGTAAATATTCATTGATAATCACTGAACCTGAGGTGAATAATTGTTTTAGTATAATTTCATAAGTGAATATTCATAAAAATAGAGAAAAAAGAACTACTGCATTTTCGTAAAATGTTATGAGGCGGGGATTGAAGATGGCGGTCGAGGGCCGTTCGGATTGACAGCAAAGTCGTCTTCTTGTAATAATTGCCATTTTTCTTCCTTATGGGCACGTAAAACTTTGATAGATACTTGTTTAATTCACTTGTATCCATGTCTTCAAAGCTGACAGTAAATTCAGACTGTTGTTGAAACCATTCTGTCAAAAAATGTATCAAGTAAAATGTAAAAAAAACAGGCGAAAACCTACAAATTTCAGCCTGTTTGACGTAAAACGATAGATAAAAAAGTAGTTTTAGACAAGGTTTTTATTATTAAATAAACAAAACTTACTTATAAAAAGTTTTAATCCAATTTTTTTTAATCCAATTGTTTAATCCAACGACTCGCGGACGACGCCATTTTGCGAAAAAAAAACCAATATTCATCTATAGCTGAACATCGCTCATTGAAGCGTCAAATTCGACCAATCAGCGCGCTAGAATTATGATATTCACTTATGAAATTATACTAAAAAGCATTGTGGGTACCCAAACGGTACAAAATAGATTGATTGATTGATTGACTTAGAGGTGGTACTAAAGCCGGACTAGCCTATGGCTAGCCCGATTAATTACGTGTTAATATACATAAAATATAGGGGAGCGAGGTTGTCCCATGAACAGCCAAACGTCTTTCAGTTAGTCATGCAAGCTGACAACGCTCGGTTAAACTTAAGAATATCCATTAGTCCAGCCATAGCAAGATCTCTCTCAAGAGCTGAGTAATAAACAGTTGGACACTGAAATAATAAAAACATACTCGAGGTCATTTCTGAAATTCGCATTCACAGTGCTGTGCTCTACTAACCTCTTGTTTTAACTTCCAAAGTTCGATCAAAAGATCTCCATTGAATTGATCCAATGCTTTGATTTTTACCCTGAAGGAAATTTCATATACGTAAACGAGTAGTTTCTAATAGAAAATGTGCTGCGAGTTTATAAATCGGGGTTCCTGTGTCGTACAATGGGTAGATTGTTATTTTGAATGTTTTGATACAGTAGCTGTAGTCCACAGGGAGCACAGGCTCCTCATCAACGGTTCTTATTTAACCTCCCCTCCCCTCCGCTCTATATTTTACCGTTGCTTTTACGATTTTGTATGATGTTATTGAATCGYGAATTTCTATAAACCCCAACCAAATCGGCTGAAACTTCTCCAGGGGATTGTCGCATACATCAATAGCAGGACGTAAGAGTTTTGTGTGAATTCTTTGCAATCCAAGTGAGAAATTCACGATACAATAACATCATACAAAATCGTCAAAAAATAACAGAAAACTAAAAGGGAGGAGGGCTGGTTCTTTAAGAACCACTGATAAGGAACCCGTGCTCCCTGTGGTTATTAATTAATTCAGTTCGTTTAGTTCGTTGCTACATGAGCGATTGATTTTGATTTTGGCGTAAACCAGCGACCATGATTAGACAGATAATAGTCAGCGAAATTGCATCTGAATCTGGAATCATGTGTGCTTGAAAGGAATCCACGTACAWTCTTTCTCCTTCCGTTAAGATATTAGTGGACGATTTCGGTATTCCATTCGTGAATATCAGACGACTGAGCACACAACAGAGTTGAAAAACTATTAAATGAACATTATCTTCCGACTTTGKGGCAATCGACTGAATTTGCGCGTCATTTTCAACCAATCACGAATCGAGAAATAATATCCCCCAGAGTCTCTCACGTATTGACTTCCGCTGGATAGCATAAGTGCGGGCTCTGGTTACGAAATTGCCATTGCACGGCATGCTCTATCATGTTCGTGCTGGCCAAGAATATCGCTGGCTTGGTGCCATCCCGCGCTCAATCATCCGCCACAGGGACCCCGAGATTACAGTCGCTGCTCGCCCGGTGTCTCGCAGCAATTCAGCACCAAATGTCTCACTTTTGACTAAGGCCAATCTCCTTGACCCAAGAAATGACATCCTTTTCTTTCCAATTGCTAACTGCATTCTTTGTGGGCAAACTTTGAGGCTGCRCGGCTGAAGGCGATGGTTCTGTAGCTGAAACTGATAAAAAAACTGTCCTCATCATAGTTTAATGTTGCTGAACTTATTCATAAACAAACGGAAAACATTGGGAAAGCAACAAACGGTTATTCAAAACTCAGTATCATGAAGGTAATTCATTAAAATATCGGCTTCTTTCCCTGAAAATGAGAATACCACAACAAATATGTCGTTTAAAACAACATGAATAAACATCAGCGGTTWAGTAAATCACCGGGCTTYTTACCTTCTTCGGCGGGAATAGGCTTTGCTCCAACAATGGCCTGAGGGACCCGAGTTTTCAACTCTTTCATCAGTTTATCTGCAGTTTCTTGGATTCGAGATGTTTCAGCAAAGTCATACCAGAGTTTGGCGCCAACTACCATTCCGAGCCAGCCACTAGGCTTGAAGTTCTTCTCTACCATCAATGGTATGATGTTCTTCTTCAACTGAAAAGCGTACTCCGCTTCTAAAAGGACATTTCAATATTAACGACGACTTATCAATTACTAGTCACTTAAGTAAGATATGACAGGGTGGGCGCAAACACGGATTTAAATCATTACAGCTGTAGCCAGGCTACTTTTCCTTCTTGCGTACCTCACTGGTCAAATTTTATTCGACTTTCATCAGAGTGCTTTAAACAATTTGCAAACGTACCCGCCCTACGCTGCGGCTTCAGGAAGCAAAAACCTACCGCTYCTGCAATTGGGGCTCTCCTTGTACTTRGAAGAAATACACACTAGTACTAAAGCAGAATTCTCGACTGCTTTAGCCATTGCTTCAAGAGTTGATCCTTGCATTTGATCCACATCCATCCATACTTTGTATCCACTTTGCTGCAAGAGTTTCTTAACCTTGAAGAAAAAATAAATAAAACTATGCTCGGCTAGCTGTCATTAGCTTAGCCACCTATGGCCTAATCAAATTTTCTGTCATTTGAAAAGGATTCATATCCCACAAAAAGGCGGGAAAACACACTTTTGACGCGCGCGTCGCAAAAGTTCTGGACTTGACGTCGATCATATATGCAAATTTTCACCAGCGTCAAATAGGAGTGCTGTCATATTTTTATTTATGTTCAATCTCTTATTTCAATCTGAATGTCCTTACCTGAATCAAAGTCTTTTGAACATCCCACTGGTAGCTAATCATGATATGTGGCATGTTATCATCACCGGTGTCGATTTTTTTAACTAAAATAATTGAAAATCAGAAACTCCTTTTACAAATCTGATCTCGATAATTCATTGACCATAGAAACGTATTGTTTATATACCCATTTCAAAAAAGGTTGTCGGATAAAATGGCGAATAAATGTCCTGAATGTTCGAACGACAATTGCACCGAAAGTAGCCATGGGTTTTGCTAATTGACGAGAAATAATGATTGATTTATACTGTAAGATATTCTGTTGTAAATATAAGCTTCATTTAGACCATAGTTAATAGAGAGGACAGTCCTCTCTATTAACTATGTTTAGACTAAAGTTCTTCGTAAGGTGAACACAATAAGTCAAACTTTGTTTGACAATACAGTGTGACTGTATTCTCTTTAGGTCGTGCAATCTCCATTCGACAATTGCCGTTAAGTTGCCGTTCTCCTCGACAACGATTTTTGAAATAGCTGTTTATCATATGAAAGYATCATTATTACGGCTTGCTCGGCTTGCTTTGATGTCTTCGCCTCTTTTAGCTTTCTGTTCTATTTCCCATAGTGCACCAGAAGCAGAGCTCGATACTTGACTATCTGCGCTCGCCTTTAAGGATCGTAGTTTTTCAATGCAATCTATAAAAAAAAACGAATAATGTCATGATTCGATGTTGTCCATGCCAGACTGGTATTGTCACAAAATGGTGGCGCAAAAATCAATAAAAGGAAGAAATAGTTTTAGCCTTTAAYAAACTGCAAGTACAACTTTCCCAATCGAAAACGAATTGATTTCTAGGCTCAAATGCCACAGGAACGTTTTGTATTAAAATTTCATGTTAACTGGGAAAACAGCTACGACTTCGAACAGGCAGCCCAGCCCTTAGTTTCCGTCCCTGAAATTCACCGGTTTACTTTTGGTTTACATCTTTGAGAACGAAAAATTTGAAATTCTGGAACTTACCAGGAAATTCCTTAATCTTTTTCACGTTGTCCTCGTTAAAGGCAAGCATCCAAAAACAATTTGCTGCGCTGGCTTCTTCAACGGTGTCTTTAGCTTTCATCAAAAAATTACGTAAWACTCTRAGTCCTCCTTGCCTCACGATCTACAATGGAAAGAAGCAATTGACACATCGATATAAACTATATACTTTTCTTTTATTATGAATGAACGCCACCATTTTCTAAATAGAACAACAAATAGTAAACAAAAAGTGCATTAACTCAACCTCGATYTTGTTTTTGTCGTTCACRGCTATTTTGCTCAATCCATCCCCCAAYTCGTATGCAGACCACTGAGTTCCCCCCACAAGACGATGATCGTCGTAACACAATGCAGTATCCAGCAATTCTATGATCAACTTGATTGGTTCTTTAGAGAAATATTAATTAATTGAAAATATGATATAAATGCACGCACAATCAAATTCCAGTGCCGTCTATGAGACCTTCGTTTTCCTTGGCTTTTCACTATGTCCAGTTTCAATACGCATGCTGTGGCCTTACGTAAGAGAGATTGGGATTCAAGTACGTACGTCGAGCGCCTCTCTAAAGTTAGGCTTTGTTTGCATAAACATTACAACAATCGCTTAGAAAGGCTTAGTATACGTATACGTAAGAACGAAAAGGAGTGGACCGTATAGATATCAGAAACTGACAGTACGTTCACGTAATTAGGGTTTTTGTCGTTTGGCGATCGTAAAGACAGTTAACATGAATTTAAAAAACTCATACATAATTAATGAGCTACTAGGCCAATAGAATGAGCCTATTTGGTCACATGCATGGACCTTTATATCTGATAAAACACTCCTTATTAGTATTCTTTATATAAAGAATACTAATAAGGGTGACCTTTATCAGATATAAAGGTCCATGACCCTAGCAAAGGTCTCAGGTTTGAAACCTGATCATTGACCAATGCAGGATGTCAACCGATTTCATTGAACAGCCAAGAGCGCTTCTATTTTACTTTATGCGTATTCAATGTGGGATGACAAGAGTGCTTTGTAAAGTGATTCGCGCATGATCAGTTTGCCCCATTTATCTCTGAACATATTTGTACGGCAATTTCTCCAAGAATTTTAACGGATTTGATTTTCAAATTAGTGTTGGAGTTTTTAAGCCGTTTAAAACACTCGAGATCGTGTTTTATCAGGTATAAAGATTCGAGCCGAAGTCTCTCGTGTTTTAAACTATACCTAAAACTCACATAGAAACATAATAAATAATAAAACAAAATTGACTGTTCACCTGGATTAGCCATCAATAAATCATTCTGATCCTCATCCACTATCGCAGCTAATGCAATCAGAGACGCTACAGCCATAGACTTGTTCGTACTTTTAACGAAGGGAATGAGGGCTTCTACGACCCCGTCATGACTCATCGCTTGAGGTGAGGCTCCATTCGACAAGTTAACCATCTCCTCAACGCAAACTTTTACGAGGATGGCTTCGCGAGAATCGTCACGCTGAAATSATCACAGTGTTATTTTAAAACAGCATTTTAGGCTGGAATGCATCGAGTTTGATAGTACGCAGAATGTATATATTTTGTGTTTCGCGCGAAGGTCACACATATTTGATGGATGCTCTTTGGGCGATGAAACTTCACTGTTTTGTAGTCAGAGGTAGTGGGTTGCAAAGAGCGCTGTAATTAACACTTACCTGAATTACTGTGCTTATTTTTTAAAGATTGTATGTATATCGCGATCGCTCGCTCGTGGTTTGACTGATTCAACTTTAGTATATATTTAATTTCAAACATGAAGAAATGGTCACACTGACATTAATTCAGCAACACTAGCCCTTTGGACAGCTAGAAATGCACCCTTAATTACAAGCTATTCAAGAGACCGCTATGAGACTTAATGATGCGACTTACCATTCCCCTATAATCAATTACTTTTGTGTAGAATAACAAAGCTGGCACAATTCCACAATCTACAAGAGCTTTGGAAACAGGTTTAATTCCATCGGTGTAATTAACGGTAACCGAGAGCAAATTAAATATATTATCCCATAGTGAGTTAAGGACGTTGCTTGGCGATTCGTTAAACAAAGTTTGGAACTCTTTAAAGTCTCTCACAATCCTTTCAGGCAGGCCTTGTGAAACACAAAACTCTCCTATTTCGTCTTTTTCTTCAAAGGCTATGGTGTGGTGAGGGCGAGCCTCGTTCAGTTGTTGCAAGCTTCTGCAGTACTCCGAGTTGTGAACGCCTTGTGTACGTTTGTAGTATGAAATAGCGTTCGCAATGTAAGGAAACTTTCTTTGTCCGTCCATTTTTTTCTGAAAAATATGAAGAAATTTTAAAAATGGATACATTTTGTAAGGATTTGGAAAATTTTAGATATGTAAATGACAGCCGGCACCTCTTCCCAGATTCTACATGAATCTTACATGTTTTGGACCATTGCATTGTCGTTGAATTCTTTTATATATATTTTAAAAACTATATTTCGAATATCTTCTACGTTCCTCGCATTATCTTATGTTTAGTAAAAGCTGTATGTTTTGATTCAATACGATCTCAGATCTCTTAAAAGAGATTCACAACTACAGTAGCTTGAGTGAAACCTCATTTATGCATAAGCGTTGTTAGGCATAAGACTCAGCATAAATTAAGTCCCAATGCCCTATTTGCCTCTATAAAGTGGTCACCCATTACCCATAGAGCACCTGCCCTCTATATGCATAAGCCATTACACAACAAAGTCYCTAGTTACAACTGCAGGACTTTCGTTCTATTAGTAGTAATATGAAATAGCGTAGCGTAGCCTTATACCGGTAGCACTAGCCCCACATCCCATGAATTTCGATCACTAAAAGCAACGAATTAAAAATAGTATTGGGTACTGAGGTGGATAATTTTCACTGTAGTGTCATAACTTAAGCACAGTTCATACATCATGCTATCCTGCTGGCGACGAGCCAAATACTCAATTTGTGTCGACTCAAATACATCACAGTTTAGCGCGGCATTGATTCATACGTCGATCCAAATAGAGTAAAAAGCATACTAAGACATTTATTCTATGGGTGCATTAAGTTCGGAGCGACTGCGATAATCGATAGTCAGCGTCGAGCACAACTAGGGTTCACGTCACTTCGCGCCCAACTTCGTGTAAAATTGCGTGTTATCGGATTTTTTCTTATGCTGTGGACTGCATTTGGTTCGACGTATGAATCAATGCCGTACCGAATGTATTTGGGTCGACTTTCGAATTCTAAGCGACCAACCGCTGTCTTATTTGAYAGCAGATTTTCTTACGCAAGGAACTTACCAAACACAAAGAAAGCTAGAGCGGATTTCGTATGAGTGGGAAACGGACGGTACTGTACTGTGGCCGTAATCGTACTGTAACCAAATTCTAGTGCCCCATTGGTTCACCAAAATTTTGAAGGCCAGGTCCGGTAACTGTGCGGTAACGGTGTCACACTCATACAAAATCCGCTCTAGAGAAAATGTTTTATGTACAATAGCGCTGACAATTTACATTTTACCCGAGTTGAAGCTAACCCTGTATTCCCAGAAGGCCCATACCTTAGGTCTCATGGGAATACAGGATTAGTCTCAACTCGGGGAAAATGCAAATTTTTAAGGCTATTGTAAAAACGAAATTTTTTCGTGCTCCCTTTTGTGTTTGGTCAGGTCTTTGCGCAAGAGAATCTGTAGWCAAATAAAGCAGCGGTTTTTCGCTATCAATTCGAAACTAGACTATTGACTATTGGGTTCGACGCGACGCGCTCGAGGTATGAACCCGGGTCTAAGATCATCAATCATAGTAATTATTGAGAGCTGAAAATGCTTTTTCCAATGTAACAAAAAGAATAACGTCCTCTTTGATTATTTTGTATATYAAATCATTCCTTGGAAGACGCCACTTCATTTGCAAGTGAATTGCCCATAACTTACAAAATACAATTTAAAATCAATTTCTTTCTTCACAGATGTACTTAGCAGCATCTCATATGTCTAATGGTGTCATGTGCACTCATTTTTTTTWCACACGAAAAGAAAATCTTTTATGGCAAAACATTTCCGCTGTGACTCTATGCCCACCAGTTTTCTATTGTTTTCAAATAATTMATTATTTCGTCGCAAAAATKTAATCCAAACCCTCCAGTTTGCAAAGTATTTTTTGCTATTTCTCTTTCGAAAACTAACATTTGATCGGCAGCCAGGCATGTAGACACAAAATTTCACAAAAATGTTTTAGTCATAACGTCAAAAAAGTTCAGTCATTTCTGAATAGAGACATTTTGCTCGACCTGTTGTTTTAATCAATGAACTGAAACACTGCGAAAATGTCCACCGGAGAGCAGCGGAACCAGGGCCGTATGAAGGGCGTACATTTGCATTAGTACGTCGTAAGAAGTCTACTTATTTCTAATTCATGTTAATCTSGACTTTATAAAAATCTACACTTCACTTAAGTGCTTAAATATTATATTTCAAAAATTCTAATCGACGATATATCTTATTTTAACTTATATATAGAGGATATTAAATGGGGGAGCGGAGATACGGATTTTATCTTCAGAGTGTCGAAAATATATCTAACGAGTAAGCGTAGCGAACAAGTGAGGGATTTTTAACACGAGAAGATAATATTCGTATCTCCAAGCGACCACCTAGTCTTTTTCTGTTTATCATATAACTATTATATGAATGCAAATTATGTCGTAGTATATCTTTTTTTACTTCCAATATAAAACCTCGAATGTGCYAWTTTCACCAGTGAAAATAACAACTTTTCGAAAAAGAGAAATATATGCCGTATTTCACAGATAATTCTATGATAARTACACRTCATTTTTAAACAAACAAGMCTTTGTCGCTGTGGCAACTGAGCCGAATCCGAGTACGGCAAAACAAAATTACAGAATTATATTCTCCTTATATATACTTTCTTCCTACAAAACCCGTTTGWTTTAATTTCAATAAAAATAGCAAAATATAAAGAAGGATAAATACCTTAACTACTGAGCATGTACAATCGCTTTCCTCACTGCCAGTGTTTACGGTCTTTGAAAATTGTTTTGAAATCTTTCGCAGTTGGATTCCTATTGTATAGTACCCAGTCTATCGCAAAAGCTTTCAAAATTTATAAGCTTGGCCATAAAGACTAKTATCTTCCATTTTTAAAAGTAGTKTCTTAACAGGGGAGGATCTAGGATTTTGGTTCTGAGGAGGAGGGGGCTGGAGCGGGGTTCGGTTCACAATTTCTTACAGATTCATAAGATGAATGGAACTGATTAATCACAAATTAAAACACTCGCCCAAAGAATAAAGTGTATATAATCTATATAATCTTCTTTTATTGTCAAAGAATCCTGTTTTGCACGGCACGGAGAGAATTAAGTCCTCCTTGTTCTTGTTCTTGAAATACACAGGAAGCCCAAGATTAGTATGATAGGCTTTCTTGTTCAGTATAAGGACCACATATAAAAAAGCGAATGTTTAATCTATTTAACTAGCCTAACTTAAAGTCATTGAGTGCTGCCTTGCATGTGTTCAGTTTATTTCAAAAACTGGATTTGAAGTTCCAAAAATGTGATTAGTGATTTATATCAATCACGAAAAAACAGTAAAGAGCAAAAGAAAATARAAGATTAAAAWGTTTGATACCAACTAATAGTCTGACTTTTTCACGRTGAAATCAAAACGAAATRTTTTTTCATCTTTATGAAACAGTGCTTAAAGTGATTTTACGTGGAACGAAATTACTAAATTGTGCAATGAAAGTACAAGTTGAAGAAAAGAAAACCAAAGAATTAGCATCGAATAATACTAAAAAGTTTCACAGTTCAAGTATATGAAATCATAACTATCATAACAAGCCTCAAGCTCGTTTTTACTAAGATCAGCTTGAGACCAGTGTTGCCATAGTAAATCTATTTGTGGTTACAATGTATGCTTAAGAAAGTGTGAATCCCGCAGAGGGGATGACAACGTTTAGAGGTCATGAGTTAGGATGGGTTTTTCAAAAAGTTCATTTACTACAAACATAGCACTCCATATAAAGAGTTACTTTTGATATCGTGGACAGAGCTTGTTATTAGAATGTATTTGAGTTTGATCATGAAAACTGGAAATGTAAACGCTTAGGTGTTTGTAACTCGAGGTCAAAACCACGTCATTCGGATAATATGTAACTTATCCATGCGCAAACCAACCTTTTTTTTTAAAAAAAAAAACGATCGGTGCGTTTTAAAAGTTAATAGTTTAAAAGTTAATAGACCGGTGAAATAGATGTTACATTTATGCCGTATTCAGTTTTTCGGCAATATTATCTAGTATTTGGATAGTCAGAAGTTTAATTTTTCCCAGGTTTAATGACTTCGATCAAGCGACATGGAAAACAATATCAAGAAGAMGATAGCCTGCGTCACATCCGGACAAACCGCGACTTTACCGTGGTTTGTCCGGATGTGACGCAAGCTAGAAGAAGAGAACGATACCTCGTGTGGTGAATGTTTATAGTTAGCGCCCGATGTGAATGACGTTATAAGTGAAGTTTACATTTTTTGACGGCGGAAACAAAGAAATCCATTGTYTTATCAGCGAAAGCAATGAATTATGGGTGGATAATATCAATATCACGGTTAAAAAAAGTGAGGGGGTCCAATTTAGAAGTTCCATTTGATCCGTCATATTTCCTTTTAGGATTGAAAAAATTATATACATAATTAATATATATTATTTTTTGTCAAAAAAGTGGGGGGGGGGGGGGGGGGGGGGGCCCCTCCCCTTGGTACGGGCCTGTATCAGCTATGTCCTTTCCGTGCGTTTGTGTATATATATTTTCTGAATTAGAAATTATTTTCTGAATTAGGATTGCTGCCTTGCTTCGCGCGCTTTAGGCGAGCTACGATATGGCAGCAATTAAGTTGCGTTTGCATTACATAAAAACGTTGTTTTGAAGTAACGGGTGGACACATGCACCCAATGGACGCCAAGATCTCAGCCTCAGATCAATTGAATATAAAAGAGACAGCAGAGGAGCTTGTGATATAAGAAACTGTGAAATATWTCTGCAGTTCTGAGGAAATGTTTCTATCTATCACACAGTCACTGCTTGTCTCATGATATTGAAAAGTAGCCTAAAACAAAGGAGGATTTTGCATAATCCCCAGAATCCTTTGCGCGAAATTGTAACACATTTGAAGTCGCAAAATGGCGGCCGACAAGCCGACACGACCCTAGGACCATGATTATATTACACCCGGCTTGATGCAGCAATCATGAAGGACTGATGGAAATCCATAAGAAATGCGCATAGAAATGATAGTGAAGAAAAAGAAATGATTCTGCTTCAGGCTACATTGAGTAACTTGTGATGCTGTTTATCTCTATTAATAATTATAGCAAGTGGTTTCTCCCACYAAAATGGCTGATGATTCCCCCTTTGTTTCAAGAGAAAAGGGTTGCTAGATAGATAAATATAACGTTTATTAAGAAATATTATTATTATTATTAACACCTCGCAGTCTTTCGACTGAACTAGACGCTCTAACAGCGTAAAGTCGGGCTAGCTAGTAATAGTGCATAATGGAAAATAGCTAAATAATAACAAGATCATTGCTACAGAYACATGTAGTTCCCTCTATATATTGCCTAGAGGGCTGGAGGAGAAACCATGATAGATATTGTAACTTGTATGAAAAAAAATCGAACCGCAGGAACAAGTGTTCAAMATTCAAGATATGCAAAGGTCACCAAAACAACAGATATATGGTACCATCTTGTCTAGGGCCTTTGATGTACACCTCGGGGTATTTCGGTATAAGACCATGTGACAATTAATATAAGGCATTGTGGGTACCCATTGTGGGTATACATTGATTGACGAAGAGGTAGAACTAAAGACTCTGCAGTAATTACGTGTTAATATAAATAAAATATAGGGGAACGAGGTTGTCCCATGAACAGCCAAACGTCTTTCAGTTAGTCATGCAAGCTGACAACGCTCGGTTAAACTTAAGAATATCCATTTGACCAGCCATAGCAAGATCYCTCTCAAGAGCTGAGTAATAAACAGTTGGACACTGAAATAAAAAAAAAAAAATACTCGAGGTCATTTCTGAAATTCGCATTCAAGTTTTCATACACAGTGCTGTGCTSTACTAACCTCTTGTTTTAACTTCCAAAGCTCAATTAAAAGATCTCCATTGAATTGACTAAATGCTTCGACTTTTACTCTGAAAGAAATTAATTGTATACGTAAATAATTACATGCAAAGCTTGGAGTGCTGAGTTCAGCACCAAATGTCCCACCTTTGACTGAGGCCAATTTTCTTGGCCCAAGAAATGACGTCCTTTTCTTGCCATTTACCAACTGGCGCTGAAAGTGATGGTTCTGTAATATATATATATAGCAAGAACTGACGTGATAAACTGATGTGATAAGCCACAACACAAATTCAGTCCCAATGGTCTATTTACCCTCTATAAAGTGGCCACACCCATTACCCATACAGCAGCCGCCCTCTWTATAAGCATAAGCCACAAAACAAATAAAGTCCCAATGTTCTATTTGTCCTGTTTTCAAGCTTTATTAAGCGGCCAACCTCATATCAGTGGAATAGGCCATTTTTGAAAGATCACGAGGGGATGCATCAGCACAAATAAAGGAAGGCACAGAAGAATCCTAAACTCATGTACCCACCACTGCACTTATTACCTGTGGTGGCAGAATTATTTGGTCGTTCCTTGTTAGTACAGGGGCCGCTTTCTGCGTAATTCGAATCTTTTGGTGAATCTTTAGGCTCGTCCTTAATCCTAGTTAAGACTGGACTTCCGTTTTGTTCTTTAGTAGCGGTTGTACTAGCCCCACATCCCATGAATTCCGATTACTAAAAACAAGAAATTGAGAAATTGTATTGGCTCCTGAGGTGGATAATTTTCACTGTCTTGTCATAACTTAAGCACAGTTCATACATCATGCTATCCTGCCGGCGACGAGCCAAATACTCAAATTTGTGTCGACTCAAATACATCACAGTTTAGCACGCGGCATTGATTCATACGTCGATCCAAATAGAGTGAAAAGCATACTAAGACATTTATTCTATRGGTGCATTAAGTTCGGAGCGACTCCGATAATCGATAATCAGCGTCGAGCACAACTAGGGTTCACGTCACGTCGCGCCCAACCTCGTCCCCAGGGCCTTGTAAATAGCGAAGAGCGGGACTCTGGGGACGAGGTTGAGTCGCGCMAATCAACTGATCATTGGTTGAGCTGTTCGTTGTGCCAAATTCAAACTATTGAATTAATTGTTCGCGATGATTGCAATTGCACGACGGTTTGAACGGGGCATTGTGGTTTTGAAGAAGTAATATAAAACATTCGGTTGTTTGACGTCACACGACTGGATAYGCTCCTGAACATTCTTTGTTTTCAAAAAACACAGGCGCACCCTAAAAATAAACCATAAATGCAGACGTGCACACTGCACACTATACTTGGTAACTAACGGATACAGGAATCCTTTAATTATCAATATTATTTTTGTTATTTAATTCTATTTTCCGTTCATCGAAAGTTCATATGTCCTAAAGTCTTTTATAGCAAAAAATTCCCGCTGTGACTCTTTGCCCACCAGTTTTCTATTGTTTTCAAATAATTACTTATTTCAACGCAAAAAAATAATCCAAACCCCACAATTTGAAAAGTATTTTTTTGTATTTCAGTCTTTCGAAAACTAAGATTTTGATCGGCAGCCAGGCATGTACTCATAACTCAAAAGTTCAGTAATTTTTGAATAGCGACATTTTACTCTGTTGTTATCAATGCATCAACCGAAACACTGCGAAATGTCCAGCGGAGAGCAGCGGAACCAGGGACCGTTGAAGGTCCGTAAATTTGCATAGTCCTTAGTACGATGAATGAAGTTAACTTATTTCTAATTCATGTCAATCTGGACTTAAAAATCTACACACGACATAAGTGCTTAGATATTGTATTTCAATAACTCTTATAGAGGATATTACATATTACTGAGTGTAAGGGATCTGCAACATGAGAAGATAAAATTCGTATCTCCAATCGACCACGTAATATTCAATTTATCACACATAATTATGTATGAAAGCGACTTTTTTTTAACTTCCAGCAGTATATAGGGTAACCTTCAGTGAAAATAAAAACTTTTCGAAAGAGAAATACAAATATTTCACAGATAATTCTATGATRAATACACATCATTTTTAAACAAACAAGCCTTTGTCGCTGTGGCAACTGAGCCGAATCTGAGTATGGCAAAACAAAATTGAATTCTACTCGCCTGAAATTTTTTATACTTTCTTCCTACAAAACCCGTTTGATTTAAYTTCAAATAAAATAGCAAATGAATATAAACAAGAAGAAATACCTTTTTAACTACTGAGCATGTACAATCGCTTTCCTCACTGCCAGTGTTTACGGTCTTTGAAAATTGTTTGAAATCTTTCGCTGTTGGATTCCTGTTCAGTATAGAACCCAGTCTATCGCAACAACTCTCAAAATTTATGAGCTTGGTCATAAAGACTAGTATCTTCCATTTTTAAAAGTAGTGCCTTAACAGGGAAGGATCTAGGATTTTGGTTCTGAGGGGGAGAGAGAGGGTTGGAGCGGGRTTCAGTTCACAATGTCAGACAGACATAGAAATAAATGAAACTGATTAATCCCAAAACACTGGACCAAAGTATAAAATTCTCAACCCTTCTCTCTCTCTCCTCTTCCTGATAAATATTGAGCATTCCCTAAAGTCTCGGCTATTTTTCAAGACGGCACTGAATCAAAGTTTTACCTAATTGCGCGGACTTAAAATCCCGTCCAGTACTCATTGTCGGACTTTACAGTTCCCAATGAGATCCTATGACGCCTGACAAAAAAAAATTCTGATTCTCTGTGAGCTGATTCTATATAAAATAAATAATTGAATGGGGAAATATTCTTGCATTTCAGTGTTGCGTCTTTGAGTTATGAAGGTTCAATCTTACAATATGTTAATGAAATGACGTCAAAGATAAGGCTTCATTAGATATACAAACTTTGAAGGAGTTAAAAATGGTTTTATGACATTAAATGTATCATAGGCAATGTATAATAATGTGTACATAATGTGTATAATAATAATGTAAATGTAATGTCATAATTATATTCCCACTAGCGTTCATGAAAAGTTGCATTTTTATTTACGCAATAAATGCTGTTTTGAAGTGGTGTACACGGGTACACATACACCCAGTGCACTCCAAGATCAGACCCAGATCAATTGCATTAAAAGAGACAGCAGTTGAGCTTATGATTATAGAAACCTGTGAATAATTTCTGTAGTTGATGCAATCATGAACGACTGATGAAAATCCATAAAAAATATGCAGAGTAATGAGTCAAGATCTGCACCCTTCTTCATAATATATTGTGTGAGAGATCACAATGATAATAATGTACACTGTCCAACACAATTCCCATCCACAGAATTCAAATTCACTATGAAGACTTTGGAAGGAGATTCAGTTCTTTGGAAATGATTGAGAGCATGACTTCATCAGCTCCACCCCCAATTGAAAGAAGTCTGAAATCTCTGAAGGCTCTRCTGATGCCTACGTCACTAGTGTATCCCATTCCTCCCCAAAACTGTAGACAGGAATCTGAGACTTCTCTAACCAAACGACCTGCCTTCAACTTCATCATCGAGGCAAACAAGTTAGCATCGATACCTCGCATGTGAAGATCTAAGAAACAAAATGATCATTTATAATTAATGTTAATCAAATTATTAATAAATAGACCAATTATCTTAATCAACTGAATTAATCTGAAATTTATGTTCATGAGGTGTGTGATTATGACAAAAGTGCTAATATAAGGTCAGCATATTAGATAACGTAAACACCTGCAATAAAGAACCTAGTAGAATAATAACCACTTGGCAGAAAGTTGCTATCTTTATGTCCTTTAAATAAGAACCCAGGTTAAATCAAACATTATCAAGAGGTTCTTATAATGTGGGTTATCAGGTAAATTATTTTATAAGAAATAATACCATATCCCAAGCAATTTTAATTTTAAWTGCTTGTTAAAACAACTTGTTTTGCCTAATCAACACACTTAAAAAAAGGTTTTTAACTGCGGGTGTTTACTAAATAGTTCCATACAAATGATAATAATGAAAGACATATATATGTACAATGTACATTCATCAGGAAGTTTTTTTGAAAAGCAATTCAAAAAGCATGTAKTTGTGCAAAAAGATAAATTTTAACACCGTAAATAGTAGGTGAATGACTAACTGACTTACTCCAACAAATGCTTAATGTCCATGAGCCTCAGTAAGTTGTTTCACCTATTTTTTTACCATGTTAAAATTTGTATGTTTGCACAACTGTTTGTTTAAAAACACCGATGCAGCTCATATTAATAGTTTACTGCTTGTTTCCACCTTTTTAAAAAAGCATATATGTGTGAAACTTTAAACCAATTACAGTGGGCTATAGATGGGCATGCAATGAAGTAGTTTGTTTACATCCAAAATATCAACTTCAAAAAATAAGCAATCTGAACTCATATACATTTGTAATTCAAGATAATATCACTCTCAACAAAATCTGAAAATTTTGGGGCAAACACCTTTTTACATTTCAAGATATTGGCATTTCAAAACTACAAAATATATTTAGAAAACATTCATTGGTTGGCAACATTTCCCAGCATGGTCATTTCTTTAGAAAATCTTGCAAATTTGGCACTTGATATCCAATTGCCATTAAATTTTCTGGGATTTCTAAGAGGTATGAGCTCTTTTCATTTATGGGCTTGATTTTCTTGTGGCTTGAAATTCGAATTCTGACTTTTATGCAAATAAGCTAAAATGTAAACATTTGCACCAACCTATAAACGGACTACATTTATGTAGTGTTAGATAACCAATGATTAATTAATACATACATGTTGTTCTGTATACAAGTGCTCTAAGAAGTTCTACTTCAGTCTGCAATTCAGCCAGTCTAAAGTGCACATATTGATTGTCCAGAATAGATTTCCCAAAAGCTGGACGATTACGGCAGTATTCAGCTGTCTCAGAAATCAGGTCTTCCATGGATACCAAAACTGAAAATAAAAATAATTTATTTTAACGCTGATCACAGAGCACAGAAATCAGTTGCCGAGAACCTTTCAAAACCTGCTTTTTGATTGCTCCCTTAGTACAGGCTTCCATTTTTTGGTTAGGTTTTGTTTTATTGTTCTGAAGAGCATCAATTGTTTGCCTATTGTTTTCTAAACCAACCTTCAATAGCTTCAATAGTTTTGCGATGACCAAAAAAATGCATGTAACTGAGGGAGGGAAAACCCTTGAAGTAAGGGRAAAAARCAGTAAACTAAAGAAACATTGTTACAAATACTGYGCCATGACTGGGTTATTAGAATGGSKTCCACCACTCTCATTTCTAGGACACCCTTGCTTCCATATCACCCCCAATACCAACCAATCAACAACTAATTCATTACATCATACCTGAAGCAGCAGCAAAAACTCGCTCATCGACAAATTGYAACATCTGATAAACAAAACCTTTTCCTTCATCTCCAATTCTGTACGATTGAGGCACTCGCACATTTTCAAAATAGAATTCTGCTGTGTCAGAACAGTGCATGCCTAGCTTATCAATAGCCCTTGCTCTTTGTACACCAGGAAGATCAAGAGGCAAACAGATCAAAGACTTGTTGTAGTGTGGGTCACCGTCACTTGTATTGGCCAGTAAACACATCCAATCAGCTTGGATGCCATTTGTTGTCCACATCTTACCACCATTGATAATATAATCATCTGTTAGGGAAAATATGTCTTGTGAGAATGAATSGTAGCACCTTTGTTTAAAGTGCATATAAAGGAATTTTGTTTGTGTTTCCTAAAGATAGTTAACCAATCATTAAATATGGTTTGTGTAAAAGAAATTCACAAATCGAAATAGTGGTGTGTTTTTGAGGTGATTCAAGTTCAAAAATGGCCTCCTGTGCTTTTTGTATCAGGAGAGTCCTAGAGAGACTGGAGACAATAAACATGTGATGTAGCTTCAGTCAGATCAGTCTCGAAGTTTGCAGAGAAATACTGGCAAAATTACGTAATTCAGGTTTGAATCTGACATTAAAGAAAAGGAAATTCGGGAATTAATATTCTAATGAATTATGTCACCAAGTTCTCATTAGCAACGATGCGCTCCAAAAAAACATCTGACGGATGCTACGTCACGCTTATTGTAACCAGTCCCACTAGGTCTCTCGCTATAGTAAACACAGGAAGCCATTTTCTGAAGTTAATCGCCTCAAATACACCCCACTATTTTGATTTTTGAATTTCTTTTCTTCAAACCATATTTAATGATTGGTACACTTTCCTTAGAAAACACAAAAAATTCCTTTATATGCACTTTAATAACATGTAACAGAGATCTTTAGGGCTTCAGGAATGCAGAGATTTATGTTCCATCCCTATTAACAAAACAGGACATACTTTCAACTCTGGGAATGTACAACACTTCAAAGACCACAATTTAAATAATAGTGTTAGATACTTAGATCATATATTATATCATATAGTTCTGTAAAATTACATGCAGACATTGTTATCTGTTGACAATGATAGTAGTTWGTTGAAATGTTACATCATTCAATACTTCAAGTAGAAACTTTTTAGTCTTAATATAATGTCAGCAATATTATTAGTCCTGTCACTGCAAACAATCTTTGGAACAAACCTCCATCCTTTTTGGCAGTAGTCTTAATACTTGCAACATCAGAACCAGCACCAKTCTCACTTACACCAAGGCAAGCTACAAAGTCACCTGCAATGGTAGGTACCAGAAACTGCCGTTGCAGTTCTTTGCTTCCAAACTTTAGCAAGGCAGGAGTTGTCATGTCTGCTTGAACACCAAACGCCATTGGGACACCTCCACATTTTATGTGACCTAAAATTAGTAGAGCTCAAGTATAAGTCTTTCATAATATTTTTATCTAAAAGGACCATTATATTCAACCAGAAATTGTTGCATTTGTGCTGAAGCTTGTTTGGGTTTTGTTCTTTCCTATGATTATTAGGCAGAACTTTAAGTAAATTTATTCTAATCACTTGTTGATTTGTCTCCAAATCAGAGAAAAAAACAACAACAATTTCTTTTGAACTTCAAAGTTGGAACGGTTGCTGCCCTAAATAGATTAATAATAATAGTACTAGCAACATAACTTGTGTAAGGGTGTGMCACTAGGACCTCAAAACCCTGACCCTATCCCAGACCTAAACTTTTGATTTTGCATACAGTACCCTTCAGACTATAAAACCCAAGAATTGTATATATATATAAGCTTAAGTATAGTTTTAAACATGAGAGAGAGTGTTTTATCAGGTATAAATCTTTGTACCTGATAAAGACACGATCTTGAGTTTTTTTAAATGGCTTCAAAAACTCGCCAACACTAATTTAAAACTCAAATCCGTTAAAATTTTTGGAGAAATTGCTGTAAAAATACGTTTTGAGATAAATGGGGCAAACTGATCATGTACGAATCGCTTTACAAAGCACTCTTGTCATCCCACATTGAATACGCATAAAGTAAAATAGAAGCGCTATTGGCTGTTTGCTGCAAACAGATGACATCCTGCATTGGTCAATGATAAGGTATCAAACCAAAGACCGTTGCTAGGGTCATGGACCTTTATATCTGATAAAGATCTCCCTTATTAGTATTCTTTATATAAAGAATACTAATAAGGAGTGTTTTATCAGATATAAAGGTCCATGCATGTGACCAAATAGGCTAAATCTTAATTATAACTCATTAATTATGTATGGTTTTTGAAGTGCTTAAAAACACGTGATTTGTTTGTAAAGCAGATCATTTTAAAAATAAGAAAATCATTCCATTAGATTGTCATTTGAAAGAACTATACTTGTTAACACACTTGATTACAATATTGTTCGATTAGATGAATACTTTACTGCTGCTGTTGTGTAATGACATTTAGAAATTCGAGCTCTTTGGTTCGAGTTTTCGTACCGTCTATTGTGAAAAGCCAAGTATGTGATCAAAGTAAATAATCAGACTTACCTAGCTCCTCAGTTAATGCCACAGTGAATGAGTAATCCAAGCCTTGYCCACCTAATTCAACAGGCTTATTCACACCTAAATATCCAGCTTGGCCAAGCTTTTTGAAGAGTTCATGGGCTGGAAACATTTTTTCCCTCTCCCATTCGTCAACATAAGGGTTGATCTCTTTATCGATGAACCTTCTAAAAGCATCTCTTAATTCAACGTGTTCAGCCGTATAGATTGGCTCGTGGGAGTACTCGTAAGGATCAGGGCGAAGTTTTGTGACCGGTTTCGCGGAGGAAATTGACGAAAAAAGTCGTGAAATTTCACGATATCTTCTTGGGTGATATAATGACCTGTACGCTGCCATGTTGGAATGTCACGTCACGCGAGAACGCGATTGAAAACCAGCGGTGTCGCATAGCAGCGCACTTCTCGCTTACTTAATTAATTTTTTTATGTATATTTATTGTATTTAATTACCGTGTCCAGGCCGAAGACCTGCGGCACGGTTATAAAATGCAGCGACTTGTTTTATTCTATTTTTTTTCCACGTCGCAGTTTAGACCCATAATCCAGAGTTCCAAGGTTCGAGCCTCGACTCGAGCACTTCTGAAAAAATTATTTCTTTTTTCTCTCTTTAATTTCTTTCTTTCTTTTTTTTTTAACTGAAACATAGGTGTTCTAGTCATGTTAGATTTTTATCGTAGCAATTTGTTTTATATATATATTAGTTACGTACGAGCCGCGTTTGTTAAATTTTATAAACGGCAAGATGATAGTCGAACTTCGGCGTCGAACAGAGGATCGCGCGTTCGAATCTCGTCTCGAGCACTTTTTTCCTATCTTTCTTTCTTTTTAAATATATCTAATTTATGTGTACCTTTTAGGGTCATTTTTCAATMCGTCCGTCGAGCATACCTACCAACTTTTATAAGGGAGTTCCATCCGAGTTTCAATCTCAGGCATTAATTATGCTGTGATAGTTGCCCTTGGAAACTGCATGGATGTTCTTCTGAAAAACTGCGAATTTGTCGCAACATAATGCGCTCGATTCATTTCCAAAAGTTATTATTTCAAAATTTCGTTAGCCCCCAATTCCAAAATATGTGTCGCGGTCCCTGACATGTGCGTACTAGCCAGAACTTTCCACGCTACGCGCCTGGCATTCATTTGAATAGCCGATTGCAGTATGGCGTCATTTACTACAACTACCAGAATGCTTTGCCAACTTTCTTTTGTAATGCAATTTGTGTTTTATCAGTCTCTGGCAAGGGGATTAAAAATCTGAATAACAAAGAAAATGCGCAAGGCTCTCTGGTAGTTGTAGTAAAGTTACGCCATAATGCAAATAGCCTATTGAGATATTTTTAAACAATTTTACGTGGAACTTTGGCTTGATCAGACCGAGCCAGGAGATTCCGAGTACGAGTGTTCATGTGTTAATGTTACGCAAATCTGGTTATAAGGAACTGTGCAATATTTATCAGGAGGGGGCTGTGGGTTGAGAAATGAGTAAGTAAGACTGAAGTAAGGGACTGAAAATAAGTACGATTACGGCGAAATATCTTTTTATTTTCACACAAACAAATATAAAAAATTGCAAAGTGCGAGTACAGTCAGCTAAAGACGTTGATGTCGCGATGAAACTCGTTCCTCAATATTATACAAGTCATTCAACCTACAAGCAGTAGGTTAAATTTTAATTTAAAAAAAGTTGTTAATGAAAAAAGCAATAATAACAACGTTTTAACAGTCAATTACTATTAGTATTTATTTGTAGAAATTCTTGACTTTCACTGATCACGTGATAGTCTAAAAAAGCTATTTAGAGGCAAAATTTTATTATTGTTCTCGAGATAACATCTTTATTAAAGGATCATGACGAAATTTAGAGCCAAAATAATGATTATTAACAGAAATACAAGCGATCGAAAATTGGTAAGAATGTATGGGATTAGCACGGCTCAATGCGTTTTGGACTTGTCAAGAAATACCTACAAAAAGCTTTGTTTTAAGATTCAAATTAATTTTTTAAGTGCAAGGATCAAACAAGTATATAACTCCCAACAGTTATGCAAAGTTTGAATCAAAACTGTGATTTCCTAGAGAAAATATAAGCGTTTTAATACGGTCTTACTTTACAAAGAAATGTATGGGGCCGCCATGATTGTGCCCCCGTCAGGAGCATAAAGATGGCGGACCGTAACTACGAGCATCGAATTGAGCTCAAAACTAATGATTTTGCTTTAACTTTACAAACTATATCATTTTAAACATTTAAATTGATGCTGAGACTATAATTGTTTTAAGATTCATAGACTTTTCGAGTATTTTGGCGTGTATCAAGTCGCGTGGCAGTATTATACGTAACATATCTTTGAACGCTAATAACTCAACGAATAAACAGGAAAAAAAGTTTAAACATTCAGAGCAAACTTCTATCATGCTCTTCAAGATTTCATTACCACAATGTTGTGTGTCTGTGATTTTAGAATTTTGTTTCGACTGATGACGTCACGTGAAAGTCGAGAATAAGTGATAGTTATAGTAAGAAGAAATATTAGGACAAGGACAATTATATATTTTTGTGATGCCAACATCATAACGGTTTGTATTCAAATCATGAAAAAGAGCGGACAAGACTTTTGTTTGGAAATTTGCTTTTGATAATGTTTTGATGTGCTTTTATTTATATATTTATATATATTTTGAATTTATTTAGGCATTTAAGCGAGTACATAAATTATCATTTGATGAGGATTTTGTATTATAACTATATTTTACTTTTGGCACTAGTATAATTACATGCGTGAAAAGGTTGCCGCTTATTAGAGGAGGAATTGTTGTTTTCGACATCGTAAAATGTCACTTCATAGAAAAAACTGAGCGAAAAAACAATAATATTAGTTTTCCATAATACACTTATTTCCAAAACAATAGATATATGAATAAGAAAGCCGCAGTGCATATTGTGACCGTTTTTGTCAAGTGACGCCAACCTGCGAACTGGGCCATGGTAGTCATGGTATTCATCACGGACTAAACAATTGTTTTCAATGATTTCTAAAGAATATATTACCTCTTTCCGAGGTGAATTCATCAAATGCTTTATATGCGATCATTCTTTTCAACACTTCGCACAGTTCTGTCTGTTGTTTTAGTAGAAACTGGTTCTTCTGTGTTGATGTTGGAAGGCTTTTTTACATATTCTATTTTGCCAGTACAAGTGTTGACCAGTAAGGCGTCTTCGTCGCTTGGTAGCTTGCGCCATCAATTACAACATACCAAGGTATGAGGTTAGTTTTTAAGAAGAACAGCAGATTTTGTGTTGGAGAATTCAATAATTCTTTAAAATCTTTACAATTCAGCAAATAACATTAATGTTATGACCAAAGATTTGTCAGATTTCTTTTCTCGTATCAAAATTCAAACTACTTTACTGGACAGTGGCACTCCCAGAATGATTGARCACCAAACTGCTCAAACAACACTACCAAACAATTGCCTCTATTTTTCTTATAGCTTTCATTAAGTAGAGGTTTTTTAATTCTTTCGATAACAGACAAGAAAATATAAGGATGTGCCGTGAATTTGATATTTCAAATTACAATTTTCAAGTGTTTAATGGATGCAGCACCATCGATTCGTGTATGCTTTCGAGTAAAATAATACACCATTGATCAAAAATGTTTTAATGTTCTTCTAGAAGATATGGTTATTTCGCAAAGTTTCACTACGCCGAATCGGCTGTAAGRAAAAAAATGTAATCATTCATTCTATATTGATAAAATTCGATTTCGTGCCTGGCAGATGCGTGGCTTGATGCTACTTTTTGCTCTGCTTGAGCGATTTTTACAGCCTTMATACAATGCAAAGCACTACTGAGTTCTCTCACTTCTGTGAATAAACAAACTATTGTTAAAGCATATATATAACTGTATTTGATCTGTAAATCTGCTGTGAATTTGGATTCGATGTTTGTTGATAAATACGATATATTTGCATTTACTGGAAATATGGTGTTCACGTTTTTGGGATGTTTTAAATTTATCGATCACTTCCCTGCTAGCAAGGCAGTCTCTCGTTGTTGTTTCCGACTAGTAATAAAGAAACTACTCTCTAGTTAACTCGACGGGAACAAAACGAGAGAGTCTCTCTAGTTAACATGTCGGGAACAAAAACGAGAGAGWCTCTCTCGATAACTTGTACACGGAAGAAAAACGAGAGAGACTCTCTCGATTACAGTACTCGTCTTGGACAACACCGAGATTCTGGCGGCTAGTAGGGAAATCGACCACTTAATTCTTCTAGCTAAATACCTAAACGGGCTAAACTAAACAATTCAAAAACGTTTAGTGCCGAATAGTTTTGTTGTTTTGTCGAGCTGTGCTGTAACACCGTCGGTTTCAACGTGACGTTCGATTGTTCAGTTTTTCGCTGTGCCTCAAATGAATAAAAAAAGCAGCTTAAAAATATTCATGAATTTCTTTTTTGTTTCTGTTTTTAATTTGAAACAGATATAAGTGTTGCCCTGATCAAAGTTTTGATGTTGACTATAACAAAAATTATATTATTGCTGCGAATGACCGATGCGAGTGAGAAACAAAAAGCTAAACAAAAACAAATGCAGTGGCGGATCCAGGGGGGGTTCCATGGGTTCCTAGGAACTCCCCTCAAGCATAAAAAAAATAAAATAAAATAAATGATAAATGAAATAAAATGAAAACGCATCCTCAATGAATTTTTATTAAATACATTCGCACTACATTTGCTACAGTTTGAGAGACACAGTAAAAAAGTTCGTTTTAGGAAAATGCGAAAACAAAGAGGAACCCCCTTTGAAAAATCCTGGATCCGGCACTGAAATGGGTGGGATGGCCTCGCTAGCAACAGGATTTACTGGGGAGGCCATTTGATCATCCCCAGTCTTCTCTGGCTGTTCAAACTCGTCCCCAGTGTCTTCTCCTTCAGTTGGGATGAAGTGGCATCTAAAAGCATTTCAAGAGACCATACTATTCCTGATTCAGAAACAAATTCTATGAACTATTTACCGGATCGAGATGGTGTCGAAATAACAATTTGAAGTTGGATAACATCTAGAAAGTCTTATCTAAATACTGCAATTCCAATTGATTGTTACATGAATAATGCACTGTTCAAATTCTTATATCTATTGACTATTCTTAAAATTCCAGTACAGTCTGGAATAGCCTCATTCCTAGGATACAAAACAATAGAATAAACAGTCACTTTATAATAGATTCGTGGCTAACTCCCGCTTGTAACTGGAATCTTAAGAAAAGTTTAATAGATACAACTAGTTATAATATGGGTGGATAAACCGATTATGCAGTTTGCATTTGATTGACACAACCATTATTTATTACCATTATTGCACAACAAATTATTCAACCATTTTATAAACAATAATATGGCATGTTTTGTATTACAAAAGATGCTATTACCTATATAAATAGAAACACTCTAGTCAGGTCTTCGAAAGCTGTTTCATTGCATTCGTTCACAAGAAATTCAGACTGAAGGGCATAATATAGTTTTGTGGAGGTAGTKACCGGCGGTCACACGTTCGAACACTGGTAACTYAAGCAAGGTGAATTTGAATGATTTAACGGTCAAAGTATGGGATTTTCCTGTTTTTAATAAACAACATTAGCTTAATGTTATGTCCAGTTACTTCACAGTACTTTTCTTTTTCTTTTTTTTCAGATTACATTTCTTCATCACTAAAGTTAGAACGCTGCACAATGGAAGTGAAACAAATCAAGGTAGCAATTCAACTGTGCTCCTTTTTTGGCGATAAAGTATCGCTTTTCACTTCTCGTATCTATCAAAGAAGTAAAAAAACATATTCCATCTATCATCCAGTACCTAGCGTCCTGCTTCGGCACGCATTTCACAACAGGCTCGTTTACATGTAATAGGGTTAAGAATAATTATGTTATGGTAGCTCCTAGGCTGAGCCACACCACATTTTGGCAAATCAGTGCGCACTCAGTTTTGCCCGGCGTTTTTTGTCTGGTCAAGTTGTGCATTGTAGTTCAGCACTGGACCCTCTTTTAACAAATCTCGGAATTGAAAATTATTTGAACCGAATGTAGTCAATGGTCTTTTTTCCCAATTTTCTTGCCTGGTGGTGCATATGCTAGATATAGCTAGACTATAGGAAGTATGTATAGTCCTTTATCTTTGTGCGATTAATACTCCAATTTCGACGTTCTGGYTTKCTCTGTGTTAGCCTCAAAACCAAACAATTTTTGCTTCATTGATAGCTTGAGGAAACGCATGGAATTTGACAAGAAAGACAATAGAATTGATTTGAAATCTCACACTTTTATTCTCACAATGGRACCATTTTTYGCAMAATGAGCTAGGCTAACACAGAGCATTGGAGAATTCGAAACTGGATTATTTACTTATAAMATAAAAGGCTCCTAAATCKCTGAACTTTACTCTTTCTWTTTCATAGAATACAAGCCTATTGTTAATATCTTTGGTGTTAATATGGTGGATCTCTAACACTGTTACCTCTCTTGCCTCCAAACGTTTTATGCTTGATGAACAAGCCAAAGATRAAGCAGACACARACACCAAATCATTAAGAAACATGAAATGGATAGACTTAACATTTATCCAATTTGCACTTAGCGCGATTTTTACCTTCACATGGATAAAGCTCCATTGCTACGGAATAAAGACACCGTCATTTTCAATATATGATTCTGATGTACCGAAGATGGCATTATTTGGGCACATGTTTGGACATATGGCTACAAACGCATCTTACGCAGCGATCAGCTCCAGCACTACGCAAATGATCAAAGCGTGTGAACCAATTTTCACTTTTGTACTTTTGCTGTTTCTTAATCAACGAAAATATGAAAATTTGAACTGTTCTCTTCTACTTTCTCTTCTGATGATGTCYTYAGGGACGTGTTTATTTGTGGCAGTGGATAGCAAGTTCAACATCCAAGGAGTTGTTGCTGCACTTGTTTCAAATTGCGCTTTTGCAACTCGCAAYATTCTCCTCAAAGGTAAAGGTAGCTCCTTCAAAAAGTCTTTGATACAATATTTCCACCTTTCCGTGCATTGTTTCTTCTTTTTACTTCCCTTTGGAATCCTCCGACTGCCCAAAATGCGTAAAATGCAGTTCACAACATTTGAAGGCTCACTGATATCAGCCGGCAGCTTTTTCACCTACAACGCTGCATCTATCAATGTTCTGAAGGCAATCAGCCCTATTCAGCATGCTCTACTAAATTTGTTCAAGCGAGTTTTTGTTATCGTAATTAACATTTTGTACTTCTCAACTCCTATGCATCCGCTCTCGGTCGTTGGATTTCTAGCGCTATTCATAGGRCTATTGATGTACATACGAATATCACACGGAATTTCTCTGCCGCAGAAGTACGTGTCAAGGTCCAAACAAGCGATACTATTTTGCAGTTTGTTTTCATTGCCAGTAATGAGTTTCCAATTTTTCATGACTGGTTCGACTTCAAATACAAATATCGTACTGGATAACCATATAAAATCATTATGGATATATGAAAGACCGTTACCCATCGATGTACTTCAAAACGTCAAGGCATGGAATATGACATTGTCAAAAGGATCAGCACATGTCTTCTGTGGCAATTTTGGCTGTGTTAAAGACTTGTCTGACGGCAATCGAACTACAACTTCRTTTCTAGTCATTAGTACACTAATTAATAATACTGTTTTTGACACCTGGTTTAGCAAGCATCCTTTGAATAAAATCTTTGAAGGAAAGAACTTTGAGGATCATTTGCAGCAAGTAGTGGCACTGTCTTTGATCTTCCGCAAAGGTGGTACATATTTTGATCCAAGAGTAARACTACCAAAGGAATTGCTGCAAACTATARATGGCAAAGGACCATGCATTGCCATGTCGTCTACAACCAATCTKCCAAWTATCATGGGGCTWTTCAACTTTCCAAAGGAACATCCTTTGATAYTGAAGATCGGTGAAGTAATGGTAGATCAGTATAAAAAAGACGCTGACGACATAAARAAATGGCCAATCAGGTTTAATTTTAGWGAGATATCTTCGATTGCMTGYAGAYCATATCCTGACATTTGTGCAAACATTATCGAMCTTGAARGTAAACAMTTCWWTRTGGAAACTCCCAATATTCAGAACAGTTTTGGTACATTATCTTACGACGCCAGAGTTCGTGTTGCTGCCGATGCAAATCTCGGCGATGAGATACAGGGATTTCCAGGATTGCAATTTCTCCCTTTCATGGACGAGTTTGTTGAAAGAGATCAACTTTACTCTACTAACAAAGCAAAGAATATTACTACATTTTTCAACGCTTGGTGGGGTTCTCCCTCACAGCAATGGCCACCACCCATGCACATTGACCCCATAATGTTATCCATGCACTTAGGAAATGCSATCAAGCCTATGATMTCSAASAATTTACCTTATCTTAAASKGAAATCGCCCATTGGATGTCGTGACCCAGCTACCCTCGAGTTTCTTAGAAGTCAAGRAGTGGAGGCATTTTATTCAAGTTGTATGACTCTAATGATGAAAAATCCCAGCAAARGYGCTGAAAGAACTGACAACATTTATTTGGTGGACGTCAACGATGCGGTAAGAAAGCTGCTACCATCGGAGATTCAACAAAAAGGCATTTCATTGGAGCATAACATGAAAGGAGAATCTCGTTTAAATAAATTGGCTAGATTTAAATCAGCTTACAGCTTAATTGAAAAGTACGCTCGAGCAAAGTTAGTTGTAACGCAGCGCATCCACTGTGCATTACCATGTGTTGCCATGGGAACACCAGTCATATTCATCAATTCTGCCAGCATGCCTGGCGGTGGTGGTACAAAGAGGAAGRGCTCACCACGAACTGAAGGATTCCAGGAACTCTTCCACATGCTGGATTTGTACAATATGTCAAGTAATGACGCCAAAAYGTGGCTACAAAACTTTGACTGGAACAAGCCTCGCCCTCTTTCATCTTCTTCAAGTCTTCTGAAAAGGTTAAGAGCAACATCATGGAATATAATTCGTCAGAAAAGAAAATTGCACGAGTCTGCGTTGAAATTCGGCATCATTCCTTACCATAATTCTCTTCTTGAGGAGGACAGAAAGGAGCAGGATTTGTTTCATYTGATATTYACTACTCGTGGMGCTCAAGTTGTTGAAGTGTTCTCTGATCAAAGTAAAGTTTCAGCTCGATTCAACTGGCGACACTGGCGTTGCATCGAGTCGATTTTCTATCATCATCCACTTGCAAAAGTACTAGTACACAGCAATACCTTRCCACTTGCAATGTTTGAAGTTCTTGAGGAATCTGGATATGATATCGAAGTCCGAAGATATAACTTATTAGACATAGTCAAATCCACCCCCGCCGAAAAATTTATGAAAGAAAAGTATAASAAAGTTARAAATSGTAMGTWYTGGTACAGCCATGAGACTGATCTTCTGCGCACAGCCATACTTTATAAAATGGGTGGTGTGTACATGGATACCGACGTTATACTGGTKCGATCTCTTAGAAAGTTGCCCATCAATGTTGTRGGATATGAAAGGGATGGGAAAATGATGAACGGAGCATTCATGTATTTTCAGAAAAATCATCGATTTTTATTTGACATTTTGAGGCGTTTTAATCAAGAATACAATCCAAACCAGTGGGGCGTTGTTGGTCCTGAACTTATTACCAAGATTTTACATTTAAATTCTTCTGCCCATTACAATGTCACTGTTCTAAATCACCATGCATTCTACATGTTTCACTATAGGAAGATAAACGATGAATGTTTTCAGCAAACAAATGGAACGACGTTTAGAGAAAAGAACAAGATTTTGAAAGAAAAAGCTTTTGCAGTTCACGTATTTTCTAAGTTCAGTGGGAAAATTGGTTTGACAAAAAAATTGAAAGAGGGAACAATATGTAAAAAACTATTCAACGCGTATTGCATTTTGTGTGACAAACGATATTAGATCAGGTTCAATTCTKTTTATTTTGATAAAATTAGTTTGGAATATGTTTGCTCATTTGACATACGAGTGTATACATGAGATAGAGTCTTTCGCACGTATTTCATTTTTGTAGATGTCCTAAWCATAAATCGCTCTGTGTTCACCTGTTTTCAAGAAACGTTGTCGTCGGGGAGAAAGGCGATTGTCGAAGGGAGATTGCTAGACCGAAAGGGACTGTAATGGTTACGCTGTYGTGACAATTTCATTTGTTGGATTCACCTTGTACTAAATGGAGCTAATATTTACAACAGACTTTTGTACAGTATAAATCAGTTGTTATTTCCCTTCAAKTAGCAAAACCAATGGRTCGTCCTTTCGGTCACGCAATCCGCGCCGTTCGACAATCAACATTCGCTATTTTATCCGACAGTCGTTTTTGAAATAGGTTATRTATTCATTCACGAAAGAGCTCATCAATTACTCGTCCAACGCCACTAGAGTGATCGCACTTAAACCGTGCAACTGTACAAAATCTAAGTAGTACTAATTTGTACTAAAATTTTACAAATTACTTTAAAGTGGAACTGAAGGTATTGTGACCCGGGGGGGGGACTCCCTAATATCGAAGGGCGGGGATCCTCGGCGGAGATTGTGAAAATGACCCCTAAAAGGGACCTCTATTGTGAGATGATGGGCGTGGCAGTGCTGAAATTTCAACCCTAAAAGGGACCAATCAATAACAGGTCNAAATACAACTAAATAGAACTATTTAGTTTGTCCAGTTGCACGGTTTAAGTGCGATCACTCTATGACCTAGCTAACCGATAAGAACTGATCAACAAAAAGTCTGTAGTAGATGAGATTTGTTAGCTGAAAAAAGCGATGGTTATTGAAAAGCATGTTTGTTTCAAAGATTCCCCTCTAGGAATTCAGTAACTACRATACTCAATAAATAGCCAGACGGTCAACACAATTTCAACATTTTATCCATGAAACTTAGTACAAAATAGTACTTAATGGTCCTTAATTATGGTAATTTCATTGTTTTCTATTATCTAATCAACACTATTTAGTGTAATTATAGAGTAGTCATTTTCATCCGTCTGTGAAATAGGAATTGTACTATTAAATACTATTACCCCCTATTAGCTCCCAATTAGCTCGTCTCTAAATAGCCGCAATTCATTAGTATCAGTTTAGTTTGATTTTTTTTTCATGGTTTTCCTGAGTTTGCTCTATACGTTTCATGCCGAATTTTCGTTAATTACTTACTTGACTTACATACAATCTTATACATTGACATGGTTTTCCAGGAAGGTCGTTGTATTGAGTCCCCAAAAGATATATTCACATAAGCGAGCCGATCACATTTCTAAGGTTCTGAGGTATAAAGGGAAATATATAGTTCATGCATAGKCAAATCATATTAGGCTACAAAGTTTGTAAATAAAATATGTGGATATACTGTAAATTCAATTTAAAAACAAAATGTGCTTTTGGAAAGTTTGTAAATTTTCTGTACATTCTGTAAATATCTTGCGAAATTTTGCTTGATTAAACACAGTAAATATCTTTTGTAAAATCAATTCACAAAGTTTGTAAAGGGACATTTTGTCTGTAAACAGAACACAATTTACAATAAATTTACAGTATCTTTTCAATCTTTCAGGTTTCAGTTGAATTGAAGTCTTTTATCTAGAGAGGATTTGACCATGGCTCGGTGCGATGGCACGAATCCCGGCACTGAATGGTCACGGATCCTCTCCTTCTAGTGATTCCAAATAAAAATAAAGATTGATTACATCACTGACACGGCACGGTACGGTCACAGCGCGAAGTTGCCGTATTTTGCAGTAATACGAAATCATTTGTGGCTAAATACATCATTACACTGAGTTTCATTGACTATTAAAGTGTGATTTAACAATTAGACCTCGAGGTCGAGTGGACTAAGAGCTATTAGCCCATGAGGCCGAGTTGCGAGGCCGAATGGGCTATTAGCTCGTAGTCCACGAGGCCGAGAGGTCTAATTGTTTTAGTATAAACATACTAATCGGTCAAATAATGAAAACAAATTTTAAAATAATTTATAATTTATTTATTTTGATTTTCCCGCGAGTGGTCTATCACAAATTAGAMATTAGTAGAGTAGCCAATCACAGCGCAGTATGAGTGATAGACCATTAGTATGTTTATACTAAAGTCAAATAGACACCAAGAAAACAATGCGATTAGAGCGTACTAACGAGTACTGRTGTAATATCTAATTCACGGGTTTTTTGACTTCACGCTATGAAAAAGTTGTTCATTTACGCAGTCATTTTGCAAGAGTTATATCTAAACCTAAATATATAAGAATTTCAGTATTTGTAGATAAACAATTAGATTAAATAGCCTTCGATTTCCCGCGCCTTGCCGTGAATCTCTTCGGTAGGTAATACTTTGAACAACTTAGGCAGTGTATATAAAGAACTAGGCCAATTACAGGAATCAATGAAGTATTACGTTAAAGCACTGACCATCTACACAGCTGCGACTGAGAGCAACTTGTTCTTGAGCAACAACACTRATGACGACAATCACGCCCATCCTTTACAAGCAGAAAGTAACTTTGATGTTCTTGAAATCCGATAATGAATCGTTTCGCGAAGGATCGAAATGTCGAAAGTGTTGTTGTATGATTATATAATGATAAACAATTTAAACAAAAATCTATCGAGACGAAATTATACATTGCTGGAAGGTTTGTATCTGAAGCTTTTTTCGATTTGCGTACTTAGTTTTAATTACTCACCTTGCTGATCGTATTAAGAAATGGTTTAATTCAAATTAAAAGCGTTCTGGGTTAGGTTGCTTTTCAGTGAATCGACGACTGGTTTATTGTCGGTTTACAAAACAAAAATAAGAAAAATGAAAATAACTAAAAACAAACAAAAAAAAACGATACTATAAGAAAAGAAAAATAGAAATTAGGAATAGAGGKTTGCATCTGGCCCAGTTCCATATAAATTTAGTTGTTTTGAAAGTCTAGTTTCCCAAACCCGTGAAACTCAATATAGTGTATATTGTGTAGAATCAAAGCCCTAAATCTGTGAAACATAGACAGATAAGTACAAAAGATAGGTATTAGACTCGATTGCAAACACTGTGATCATGGAAAATGCAATTAAATAGTACTAAATTGAACTGAATTATACGATTTCCTTTGTTTTCTATTGACTAATCAACATTATATTGTGCTATTTAGCACTATTTTGAGAGTCATTTTTCATAGTTTAGTGTTAGCATTCTAGACTGAAGTCCAAAACCCGTGAAATGGATAATCATTAACACACCTTAGTACGTTATAATTGCATTGTTTTCTGTTGTGTCTATTTGATAATCACATTTTAATAGTCAAGTTTTGTTTCACTCTATCATTTTTTGATTACTTAGTTAATCGAATAGAATAGAATAGAATAGAAGCTTTATTTATGTACATGGTAGCAAAATTGCTAAATTGCGTACAATACTAACTAAAAAAATATGTGATAATAATAATAATAATGACAATAATAAAACTATAATATACATTAACTAGTTGAWTAAAAGACTACTATATACAATGTAAGAATTTTGACTAATTAGAATAAAAGGACTATATAAAACCTATAAAAGGACCTATACAATGTACTATATACACTAGTTACTTCACATTTTATTATTGTTAAAGGAATTGCTATGAAAGGTGACGAAACAATTCTTTGCTCTGTTGGTATTGAACTTAGTGTTGAATGTCCTTGTTCTCCTGAGTTCGTACTTTGCTTCGTGGCGTGGAGGCACTAAATGATGAAGTTTGTGATACTGGTCATTAACGATTTTATCAAACAATGAGCTGCCAATAGAACTGTGATGGTCGAAAAGAGGGAGCGTGTTCAGTRAAACTAATGACTCTCCGTAACTWAAATGAGGGTAGATAATGGCGAAAGCTCTCTTTTGAATCCTTTCAATGTCATTATGTAAGTACTTGGGTAAGGAAGAATGGAAGACTGGTACAGCATAATCAACGACCGACCTAATACAACTTGTATAGAATCTTAGTAAATCTGGTGTGGGAACGTTTGCCCTCTTAAGCTGTCTAAGAAAATAAAGCCGTTTAGATGCTTTCTTTATAGTTCCTTCGACGTGTAAATTCCTTGTAAGATTGTTCGTAATGGTGACGCCTAAAAGTTTCGCACTTTGGACAACTTCAAGGGCTTGACCGTTAATGACCAATGGTGGTAAGTCAGCGTTATTCTTGGAAAAGGAGATACGCATTTCTTTGCACTTGTCGGGGTTAAGCTGGAATCTGTTCTGAGAAGACCAGGCCTCCACTTTGTCTACAAAGTTTTGGGCGATACTGGCTTTACCTTTAGGGATGACTTCTGAGATCGTCGTGTCATCGACGTATTTCCATAAGGAAGAGCTGTCAACTGACAGATCATTGATGATAATGATAAAGAGCCAGGGGCCCAGTTTGGTTCCCTGGGGAACGCCAGAGGGGACCATTTCCCACTCGGATACACATTCATTGGTGAGTTTGATTCTTTGCTGTCGGATGGTTAAGAAGTCAATTATCCAGTTAATAATTGAGTTAGGTAAGTTAAGAGAGCATAGCTTGGTGATAAGGATCTTATGATCCATGAGGTCAAAGGCTTTCCTGTAATCAAACAGGATAGTTCTGACGGTGGATCCATTACCATCAGTGGTGTTGGTCAAGACAATATTTTAGTAGTAAAAATGTACAGTTTGAAGTGTGAGTGTGAAAGCCAATCTAAGTTTATTAGAGTCATTTTTATTCGTCTGTGAAACAATTACTACTAGTCAGTGTTTAATAGTAACTATTAGGGTGTAKTAGGCTACCAAAAGGCAAAATCAAARCTGTGTTTGCCTAATTAGTTTCTAGAATGTCATAAGTTAATATAAACTAWTGGGAGCTAATAGGTAGTAATATTTCAAAGATGGATGAAAATGACTCTATTTGTTTTCTTTTATGTCTATTCGATTTTCACAAATTTGATGATCTCACTCTATTCTACTACACTTTGATCATCAAGTTTTGTTTCACGGGTTTAATGACCTCACTATGAAGTACAACTGTAACGGAAGAAAATTGAACAAAATTATTGGGAAAACAAATTAGTAATTTATTGTATAAAATTGGGAATAGTTGGAAATTGGCTAGAATATCATAACAAGCTTTAACATATCGGCCTTCTTAAGCGTATTAAGCATTTATTGCCTTTCAGAGCTAGGCTTCTTTATTATAATAGCCTAATCATGCCMCTGTTCGATTATGCAGATTTAGTTTGGGGCGATAAGCATAATGTTACGATCATGTCAAATTTACAAATTCTCCAGAACAAGGCTGCGAAAATAATACTTGATAGACCACTATACTCATCAGCAACCGACGCTTTAGCTAAACTCAAGTGGTTACCTTTAGAAAAGAGGCGTTTTCTCAGAAGATGCGTTTATGTATTTAAATGTCTAAATGGACTTGTAGATCACAAAATGGACTTGATCAAACAAGAAGATCAACATAATTACAACACTAGAAACAAATGCAATCTCA